AAATGATGGACTTCAACTTGTAGGCCAGAAGTTGCACACTGATGCCCCAAAGGCTGAAATCATCCTACCAACATATCTGTTTAGCCAGTGTAGTGTTTTTAGATTTCTGAGCCAATATTTAAAAATCAGAAGATTTTGTTTAAAATCCAGATTCCTTTGAAACACTGAAAGATCTGGCCACTTTGGGCTCATATTCCTGTTTGGCAAAAACAATTGGGAGTGGGGCAGTAGTTGCCTCCTCTAGATGATCTCCCCAATTGGTCACAATCCCCACCACTCTCCACTGCTTCCCCAAGCAACCTGCGTTACTCATTTGACCATACTGGGGGTTCCTAATGATATTCTCCAATCACTCTATGTCATGATCTTTAAGACTAAGCTCTTTTTGATCCTCAACTGGAAGTTTTGTGTTTGTTTTTTATGTGTGTTATTGTTTGTTTGTTTTTTTCCTTTTCTGATTTTAATATCATATTCCAAGAAAAGCTTTACAAAGCAAAGAATGTATCATATACTTTGCACCTCTCACAACACCTAGCCCAAGATTAAGTACAATGTAAATAATCAATGTTTGTTGAATGACTAAATAAATGCGTCTCAGTACCTGCTCTTCTTCCCTGAAATTCTAGACTTTAGCTATGAAGAAGATAGCCTAAAATGAGTAAAAATGTGTAATAAGACATAAAACACCAAAGCCAATCACTTCATTTCTATTTTAATTTTCTATTAGGTAGAAATGGAAATGTGAACTCTGAACAAATGCAGAACAGACCATTATGTCTGACAGCAAGATGAAGTAGAGCCAGGATACTAAGAAGGCCTGCAAATAAGATCACTAACCGCTATCAGTGACCTTTGAGGGAACTGTGGAGCATCAAATAGGTACCAAAAAGCTGGAGATAGACAAATGCCCTTCTGATTTTCAAAAGGAGGAAGAATTTATAGCTTGTCAACTACAGACTAGAGAATGTGGTGTCATTCTCAGTCAATGTTCTTGAACAGACCCATAAAAGGGGCACTTATGTACACCTAGGACAGGAAGCAATGTCCATTTGAAGCCAGCATGTGGGTCACCAAGAACAAGTCATGTTAAATTCATTTCAAGTTCTTCTTTCTGACAAGTTTCCTAGCCAAGCCAATCAGAGAAGTGTAGCAGACAATAAATATGGCAAAATGCAGGAGAGAGCGGTGAAAAGAGCTAATTCAACCCTTGGGTTATATTAATTATAGCATCAGGTATATCATGAAGGAGGTGATAGTTCTTTTCTTTCTTTGATCACATCTAGAGAATTGCATTTAGAACTTAGTACCATTCTTCAAGAAGGATATTGAGAGTGCGATCTTTTGGAGACTAATTTGGCAAACACTTTTAAAATGTAAAGCTGTCATCCAGATTTCTGGCATCTGTTGAAAACTAAAAGATCTAGCTAGGCCTACATTTGCACTTGGCAATAACTGGTTGAACTCAATCAAGTATTGACCACCCATTTATATGAGGCATGTGTTCTCTGGTCCATCAACCCTTCTCATATTGCCCTCACTGAGGTGGTGGGTCAACTGCCACAAATCATCTCACTTGGCCAGCTTAGTTTAGTCTATCTACCAAGCACCCAATGGCATTAGAGTTTGCAACCCAGGGTCAACTCGACCCACAGGAAAATGAGGATAGCAAGTGATGGGGAGCCATCTTACATGACAAAACAAGAATAATTATAGTCCAGGACCTATAATCAGAGTATCCAAACACCCAGTGGGCTGTCATCTGTTTTGTCCTAAAATGTCCCAAGGGGCAGAAACTATAGGAACAAAAGTAGGATAGTTATTGTTGTGTCCCATCATGTCAAATCCAAATCATAGCAACCTTACACAACAGAGAAGAACTGCCCCACAAGATATCCTAGGCTGTAAGCTTTCGGGGAGCAGATTGCCAGTTCGTTTTCCATGGAGCAGCTGGTGGGTTCAAACCACAGACCTTACGGTTAGTAGCTAAGAGCTTCTCCATTGCACCCCCAGGACTCCTTTTTGGTGCAGTAGAGATATATTTAACCCAACATGAGAAAAAAAAAAAAAATGCTTACAATAGCCAGAGCTGTCCAAAGATGGATATGTGGGCTTGACAGGTGGTGAGCTCCCCATTACTGGAGATGTACAAGCATATGGTATGCTTTGTGCATATATAATAAAAGAGATTCAAGTATCCAGGGGGGCAATAAAAAGCATGAGTCCAGACATTTTTACAATAGAAAAAATTGCTATTTTAAAACATTCCTCTTAACAGTAAATTCTTTAAACAGAATTAAAAAGTCAACAAAGCAACCAGCATCATTTTTAAAAACCAGAAGTTCCCTTGACAAAATTAATGGAGAGGAAAATCTGTCTAACTAGGTGGAGCCTTTGCACCAAATTGGCCAAATGATACCCAGAGAGAAAGGTAATTGGCATCATGCATTATTGTCAAGGATTGGTCAGTCATTCTTCAGAGACAAACAACAAAGGCAATGGGATGAAAGTAAGAGGGTAAACAATGGAGCTCCATCAAGATGCAGCCAGTCCCCACCCCAAAACTGCCATCTGCTACTGACATTAATCCTTCAAGGGGCAGCTTCAGACAAACAATGTATCAGGGAGCACTGTGCCTGTAAAGAAACCAAGACAGGACCCTTCACATTCTCAGACTTGTGACCCTGGGCAAGTCATTTCATATCACTGGGCCTCAGGTTCCTAATCTCCAAAACTGAGCTTCTAACAACCCTTTCTGTACACTGTGCACCAACAGTAAAAATGTCTGAGAGTGAGCCATAGACAACATGAAGTCCCATACACACATCAATAATTATGAGGATTAACATAAACCAGAATTGTGAAAGAAAAGATTTCTGAGGGTTTTAGGCACAGCAGTAGCTTGGCCTAAATCTTGTAGGTGTCAATTCTCAAGGAATAAAATTAAACTTCCTTAACCAGAATGCAGAGGAATTTAGAGTCTGGAAGACACAAGATCATTTGGACAAATCTCCTGATGAAATTCAAAGCTTTGCACTTGCTAATGAGCTATAAAAAAAAAATAAAGGTAAAAAGTAACAAAATCAGCCACAGCAATAAATGCTTAATTAATCCTCAAGTTCACCAGCCCAGTGGTAGTCATCCTTCAAAAATGAGATTAGCACGTTTCTTACCAAGACAATGCTTATAAAACCCAAACTGTCTAAAACTCAACAACCCTCTTCTATATGCCTTTTTTTTTTATGAGAACCTCAGTTTTCAAAAAAAACAATCAGCCAAATTAGTCTTATAAGACATGAACTCCATAAAAAGGACTGACACTGGATTTTTGTTTTGCGCAAAGAGCCAATTGGATGTATTCAAATCTCCAAGGGCTTGCTTGTAAATTTTAAGCAAGGCTGAAATATCAAAAGTCACTGTTTTCTACACAGAACTGAAAATACTAAAGAGAAGGCCACAGCGAAATGAAGAGCTTTTCTGTGCATTTCACCCTGGGGTCTGCCCAGAGTGATTAGCATGCCAGGTCTGGCCAGAACTAAAAGGCAAAAAATACTGTTGATGAGACTGGGAAAAAAACAAAGGCCTCGCCTGGACACTGCTCCCCTCTCCCAAAGTTTCCCAAGCATCCGAAGCGTGTATAGCAGCTGTGGACACCCAGGCTCCTCACACGCCTAGGGAGGCCACCCAGCTTCCTGGGCCATCGAGTCTTCAGCTGTAGCGGCACCCAGCAGCAGGTGTGGCAACCTCAGGTCGTTTGAACCCCAAATGACCAACTTGCTTAATAGTCTATACATGACCTCAAGAATGGACCTAAACCTCACATTGAAGATGTATTTCATCTTGACTCTTTCTATGAGAAACCACAACACACCATGTGTCACAGCAAAGGGAGACTGTAACCCGAAAGAAAACGGATGGGAAGAGGCATGGGCCCAGACTTCCCTGAACAGTGCATTCTCAGAGAAAGGGCAAGCATGGTGGATGATGCTTTGACGTTTTCCCTGCCAAAGCTAAGCCCAGAACCGGGAGAGGTGAGAGAAGCCGCCCTTTGGCCTGGAAGAAGATTCTGTCTGCATTTATGTGACCGTGCCCGTTTTCCTATTTTGCCTTGCTAGTGTGGCTGTAGGGAGTCAGCCTCTACAAGACATGTGGACCCAGTGGCACCAGAGCTGGAACCAGCAGCCAGAGGTCATCTCACCCTCCTGGCAGGCTTCCCCGTGGACTGCTGAAGCCAGGCAGCAACCTCCCAGCCCAAAAGGCACGCTGAGCAATTTGCGTTGAATGAAGGCTCGTTGCTGCACACCACAAGATAATACATTTCTGCACCAACGCCTTCTTTCTGCCTAAATGCCTGCATTAGTTTGGATCAATATATGCCCCATAACAGCTTATCCATAGCAACTCAGGCCAGCTGAGACACCGACAAAGAAGTGCAGCCCACAAAGCTGCCTCCCTGTGCACATGCATGTGAATTCCAGACCATGGAGAAAGGCACAGGCAAAACAACAACAAAAAATCAACAAGGGGGGGGTGGGTAAAACATATGTTAAAAAAAAAAGAAGATATATAGATAGATAGAAAGATATTATCTATCTATCTATCTATCTATGTCAATAGTAGTGGCTTTTACCATCTGAGGGTGGGGGGAGTGACTGTCAAAATGGCCTGAGAGTGATATGTCACAGCAAGATGATGGAGTATCAGCGACACTCCTAAAGTCGGGTGTAGGATCCTCCTCGCACACCTGCAATGCAGTGATTGCCGCCTGTTCTATAATCCATACTCCCAGCCCCAGCGCTATCTGCAGCTGAAACCAGTTAGGACTTGTGTGGCTGCCACTGTTACTCCTCACAATAAGATTATTGATGCATAACAACGTTTCATGATGGCAGGGAGGAAAAAGGAAGGGGGGGGAAAAAAGAAAAAAAAAAAAAAAAAAAAAACCCAGAGCAAGAGAAAAGGGAAAGGGGAGGGGAGGGGAAACTCCCCAGCCCGAATCTCACCTTTTATTTGGGCTTCATATTCGGCAATGATCTCTTTGTCTTTCTTGAACTTAGTTTGAGATGACATCTTCCGTGGCCAAAGGGACTGGCAGTCTGTTTGATTTATTTTTCCTTTTCTTCCCGAGTGCTTGCTCAAGCCCTGGTAATCACACGGCTCTGGTTGATTTCACAGGTTTAAGGGCTAATCTCTTTTACTTGGCTGCAGAGTGGAGGAAAAAATCCTTCCCCTTCTGGGAAGAGAATTCTCTTTATTCACAGAAAAATGGCTCTAATGGCTTGCTCTGGTCAGCTCCTCTGGCAAAGGGAGAACCACCCTTTTAACACAGCAACCTGCCCCAGATTTTCAGGATTCTTCTTCCAAAAAAAATAATAACCGGAGCACTCACACACTTGCACACAACCACATTCACGCGTGCACTCGCACACTCATCCAGACACGTGTACACACAGTCACAGTGCACACATACACACACCCTCACTCACACACACATACCCAGTTGCTCACTCACTCACACATACACATCCACGAGAGGCGCCTCCTTGGTCGTGCAGGCAGCCCCGGCTGGCTTTCGAAGACTCTGCTAAGGAGATGGTCAGGTTGCCAAAGTGCCGGTCATCTCGCATCCTCCCTCCCTTCGGCGCCTCTGGTCTGGTGTACAGTGAGGATCAAAGCCAGGAGAGCGAGATGGAAGTTTTCCTGCTGCAATGCTTGAGCTCCAGTGAACCCAGGCTGGACTGCTCGCCCAGCAGGGCTGGCTGAGCGCTTCCCCACCGCCCTTGTCACCAGGCTCCGCCTCCTGGATTTTATAACAACTGACACATTGTAGCCTACAGGAGAGCAGAACTCACTGCAAGCAAAACGGAAAAGAAATACTCACAAAAGGGAAGGCAGAAGGAGAAAGAATCCAGTTGGGAAGGCCTGAGAAGCCCCTGCAAACTCCAGACAGCTTTTGAAGAGATGTTTCTGCCCAAGGTTTACCTTTTCTTTGCACCATGCAATTTAATTCAATTTCTTGCAGCAACGGCTAAGTGACAGTTTGTCACTCTGCCTGGAGAGTCTAGCAGAGGGCTTGGCCCATGTAGGGATGCACATTAATATTTGTTGAGCAATTAATAGGTGGCAGGAACTCCACTGGATGTTTTAGACACACATCATATAGCAAAGGGGTTGACGGCATGAGTCAGTGGCTTGTGGGGCTTTGGGCAAGTGAAAAACATTGAGTCCAGTAAAATGGACTCTCTTTGGAGGATCTTTCATTCATTCTTTCAACAAACATATATTCAAAACTTACCATATGTCAGGCGCTCTTCTGGGCAGGGTGCTAACAGCAAAACCCAAAAATAGGCAAAAAAGAAAAAAAAAAAAATGCCCTCCTGAAGCTCACACTTTAATCGGAGTAGGGTCTCCACATTGCCAAACTCTAGGGAGTCACCACCATTCCTGGTAATATTCCCAGTAAAAGCTTCCTTGAAGCACAACTCATAGTGGATTCTAAGTGGCGCCCCCTGAAGTTTTGCAAAGCAGGAGACCCTGGGAGAGGAAGACAAATGAAGAACATAATGAGTAAAATATATAATATGGCTGAATATAAGTGCCACAGAGAAAAAAATGTGGCAGGGTAAGGGAACAACAAGGGACATCAGGAATAAGGAGAACCCTTGCTACCATTTATTGAGTGTTTATTATATGCCAAGGCAGTGTGCTAAGCTTAGCCATTAACTTACATATGGAGCACAGTTCTATTCTGACACACCTGGGGTCTTGCTGAGTTGAAATAGAATTGATAGCAATTAGAACTGCAAGTGGAATTATATATTACATTATTATTATATAAATTATAACCTATTATATCCTCCCAGCAACCTAAGAGCACAGGTATAATTATCCCTCTGTCACAGATGGAGAAACTGAGGCTTAAAGTGATGAGAAGTGATTACCCAAGGTCACATTCAAACCTAGGCTGTCTGATACAGATTTTATCCTTGGAAATGCTCATACACTCAAGATAAAATAAGATTCTTTCTGTAAGAATGGAATCAAGCACTACAGGGCCACTGACCCCTGGGATGTTACACATTAAGATTGTCACTTACATGTATTTTCTGCTGAGTGTGGTATTTTCACACTCAAAACAGGCATAGCCTACAATTTGGCTTTTCCAAGTATAAGTATATATGTATTTATATATGTATAAGTATATGTATTTATAAATATGCTTTTCTAAGTATATAAGTGTGAAACAGTGGATTACTTAATATGGCCCTTCTAGCTATAGTCTTTGTGACTCCCACACAATGATTGGAGAGGACTATGCAAAAAAGGAGCCCTAGGGGATGGCCTCAGGGCCTCAGGCAGTCAGCTGCCACACCCAAGGCTGGCGGTTCATACCCACCAGCCGCTCCTCAGAAGGAGGATGGGGCAATCTACTTCCATAGTGATACTGCCTTGGAAACCCAAGCAGGGGTCGCTAAGGTGTTTGTGGCCCAATAAGGGGATTGGGTAGCCTGTTAATAATGCAAATAAGGTATATGAACCCTTGTGTGGAGTGGGGCCATGTAAACAAGGGGATTGGTCAGTTTTGCCATCCCACTAGGCTTAAAGTGACCCAATCCCAGGAGTGGAGAGGGATCTCACTACCATCAAGAAGAGTCAGGAGCAGAATGTGTCCTTTGGATTTAGGGTCCCTGCACTAAGAATCTCCTAGACCTAGAATAGAGAGAAAAAAAAAAAAAATTAACACGGGCGATGGCACACAAAATGGTGAGAAGCAGTGGCAGTAGCAAAGAAACAGTGGCAGCAGAACCAGGAGACTAGCATTAGACAGTGCAGTGGGCTTCCTAGCCCATGGAGCAAAGTGGCTACAGTGGGTGTGCCAACCTACAGAGGGAGAGAGCTGAGCACATTTAGGCAGGAGGCTTCCTGGTGGAGTGGGGTGCCTCCAGACACTTATCAGAGGAACTGAAGAGCTCTATAACTCTTGACCAAGCAGGTCTGAGGGCCAGGGCCAAGGGCTGAGAGAGGGAGTGTGTCCTGAGGCAGCCAAGAAGAGCCTGTCATGAGTGGGCTGAGAGGAGCCTCACATTGTTGAGAGGAGACGACAGAACTGTCCTACACTGAAGAAGGAAGACTTTGCCTCTGTGATTCCTGATCTTGATCCCAAGTTGCAGCCTGTTGATCCTGATCCTAAGTTGTAACCTACTTCCTTAATAAACCCCGTAACTGTGAGTATGGTCTGTGAGTTCTATGTGGCCAGTGCAATGAACTATTAAATCCAGCAGAGAAGTACATAGTGCCGTAGGAGGGATGGCTGGTGCCAGAATTGATAAAAAAAGACTGGAGGGTGGAAGTTTGATTCTTAGGAATCAGTCTTGGGCTGATGATCTTGATTCTCTCTCCTCCACCTTGCAGTTAGACAAGTTCTGGCATTGTTGTGCCATCTATGCAGTAAGTATTGTAGGAGTTCCTGAGTGGTGCAAATGGTTAACACACTTGCTATTACCTGAAAGGTTGGTGATTTGAGTTCACCCATAAGCACCTTGGAAGATAGGCCTGGCAATCTGCTTCTGAAAAATCAGCCATTGGTATTTCATGCCCAGGAATACATGCCTGGGTCTGTCATAAGTTGAAGTTAACTGGTTTTATAAGTATTACAAATATAATAAAATGATTAATAAATATTATAAAAGATTTGGCTTGGGCTCAGAAATGAATAGGTTACCCATACCAGCATAAGGAGGGAAAATATTGAGGCTTTCTAGAAAGGTTGTGGTTGCAATGAGTTTCCTAGACAGGCATGAGGAAGAGGGAGGGCAAACAGGTTATTCCTGTGGAGGGAACAGCATGAGCTAAGGCCTGCAGGTGGGAAAGCACAGGATCTGTTCGGTGAAGTCCAGTTGCTGAATCACGGGGCTAATATTAGATCATCACGTCTGGAGCAGGGGGTCCAGAGTTCATAAAGAGCTGTGCCTGGCCCTCAACCATTGCCATCACCTCCCACTCACCTTGCTCATGGGCATGCTCAGGCCCTCTTGTTCCCACCTGGCTGGTCTAAACTCATGTCACCTGAGAAAGACATGTTCAGAGACTAACATCCATGCCTCAAACCTAGATTCTTGAAAGAAAGTGGGAGTTAATAGCAAGTGCTGTGGAGTGGGACCAATTGGATTCCTGGCTCTGCCATTAATGGCTCTTAATAAACTTAACCGGTTCATGTGCCTATTTGTGGCATGAATGCAGTAAATGTCAAATATTCTCGCCATTATTAACATTTTAAATCCACAGATATTTCTGGAAGACCCATGTGTAGGGCACTGAGCCACAGAAATGTTACAAAAAAATCATACAAAACTGAATTAGGGTGTGGTATGGTGCACGGTGCTGACCATCAGAAGGAGCTGGATTTTGGTGATTCAGAGTGTGGCTCTGCCACAGACTTGCTCCGTGAAAAGCCTTTAGTAGCTTCTGTGCCTTCTCTAAGCCTTAGTCTCTAAATCTGTAAAATGAAGGTGATCTTATCACCACACAGGATCCAATGTAATCATGGATTTCACGTGCCTGGCATATAGCAGGTGTCCTGCAGATATTATTTCTCTTTGAGGTCCTGGCCAAGTCTAAGATCTGAGTGAGTGGTCCATGGACACTTGTGTTGGGAGCAGGAAGAGAGGGAAGAAGAAAAAGGGGATGGGGAGAAGGTTTTGCCTCCAGCAAATACTTTGCACACAATCAACCACATCATCCTGAATCCTCTTTTCCCCAGAAGAGTGTGACCTGGCCAAGCTCCCTGGCAATATGCCCTGGCTTTGCCCCTTCCAGTGGTCCCCACAGCTCACCCCAGTCTCCCAGCTGCCCTTCTCTGACATCTCCCACCACTGGGCTACTTCTTTCTTCCTGAATGAGAACCAACTGCTATTCCTGGGGTTTTACCCTTCCCATGATAGTAACAGAAACCAGATTTCCCTCCAAATAAACGTGGTCTAACAGGAGCCCTGGTGGTGCAGTGGTTAAGCACTTGGCTGCTATGAGAAAAGTCAGCAGTTTGAATCTAGCAGCTAGCTGCTCCATGGGCC